GGGGCCCCCGCCACTCTGGGTTTATAAACACTGAGGTTCTTAAGGATTGCTATTGGTCATCCAACCAGGCAGCATGTCTGGCTTATGCCAGAGCTTATCTTGAAACCAGTAGCCAGAGGCCCAGGAATGGCCAGTACCCAAAGGGGGTGCACATTCCAGTGTGCTCTGAGCTAGCAAGAGTTTCCTAGCAAGAGCACAGGCCATGGAAACCAGGGGAGCTATGTCCCCAGGGTCTGGGCAGCCTGTGACTACCACTGTGTGAAATGGGGACCCAAGCAACTTTGAGGTTGTCAAGGGTGAGCTGACATCAACGATGTCTAGGGGACGAAGAAGTAACTAGGTTCTGGCGTAGTGCTGGCATTACTGCAGATGTTAAGGTCTGAGGACCTGCCCTCTGGTCACCTAGGGGCTCAAGGACCTGGCGCAGTCTATGGGAAGAGGTCCGCCAGGTCAAGGTCATGGTACTGAGGAGGGCTCTCTCCTCTCTGCTCCCACTCTGACAGTAGCCCCTCAGACCTGGTGGCCTGCTTCTTCTGCTTCCTACTTAAGAGATCACCAGGTTTACCAGATACGGGGAAGTAAGTCTTAAGAATAATATTTTTAAATAGTTGAGCCCTTCCTACCTAGACAGTGTGGTGTCATGTTGACAATGGAAAGCGTTTCACCTAAGAGCTCAAGCAGAACTATAGCTGGCTCAGTGGAGCTTTCATTCTCACCAGCTCCCACTGCCTCAGTCCCAGGTCCCATGGTGCTACCAAGCAGGGCTGGAGGGTGCGGGTGACTGAGGGTCCTGGGCATATTGCATGTGTCCACCATCAGCTGTTTGCTGCTTTCTTTCCATGCTGAAGCACTCCCAGTAATACCCAGCCTCTCTACAGGCTAGGGAGTCTGCCATTCAGTGCCTTTGAGGGACTCGGACTACCCCACCCCCACCCCCATTCTGCTTCTTTCTAAATCCTTAAAATAAATCAATGAAATTGACTCAGCTTGAATCCTTTATGAAGCTGGGTGTGTGCAGCTCAGCCACAGACACCTGTGGTACCTGCAGCCTCTAATGGGATCCTCTGGGGAGGCAGGATCCCAGGCTGGGAAGACACTGGGAGGAAACCATCCAGGCAGGTAGAGGCCCAGGGACACAGGCCCATCAGGTTCACGTCTGTGGACTAGTTGGTTCCTGTTTGGTGTTTGCTGCTTTTGTGGTCTTTCTTTTTCTCTTATTTAAGGATGAAGCCGAATGAAACAGGTGGGGGTGAAGTTCTGAGTGGCTGAGATGGGTGTCCCGTGATGCTAGGTTCCATCCTCTTGATTCCTGAGCTGTGGAGAGCATGGATCTGCTAGTGCTTTGCCCTAGGCAGGAGCAGAGGCCTCACCCTGCCGCCCAGGCTGCCTGGTGGCCCAGAAGGATTCAGCCAAGACTCATGGCCACCCCAGCTCCTGGGTCCCTTTCTGGACCTCACTGGTCCTGGTGCAGGTTGGTTTGAGATCAGAAATATTGTTCAGCTCACATTTTCCTCTGAAATCAGGATCTTCCTGGAACTGTCAAGGTGAGCTGTGTGGTGAGGTCTTTCCCCTTCACTGGGCAATTCAGAGGGTTCACAGGAAGAAAAAGCTTCTTTCTGGCTTTGAAGTCAGCATCTTACTTTATAGAGACAGAACAGACAGACCTCATTTTGAAAAAAAAAAAAAAAAAGAAAAGAAAATTAGTTGAATGCAAGAAAACATTAGAGAAGAAAGCTATTTTTCCCATAGCTTTTAGAGCATAGAAGTAGCAGGTAGGGGGTGAGTGATCTATTTTCTCAAAAGCCTCAAATTCTGCTCACACCTGAGAAAGAATTTCTGGTCTGAGGGGCTGTGGCCATCTCTGGAGCAGAAGTCCTCAGCACTTTCTTAGCCCTCTGAGAGAATGGAGCCCCAGAAGGGTGTTTCAGAATCACCAGTGCCCTCTTGTCTCAGCACTGAGCAGCTTCTTGCTTACTCTAGAGTAAGTCACCAGGAACGATTGTGAGCATCTCTGCAAGTCAGAAGAGCTCTGAATGTGGAGCAGAAGGTGCATCCAGGTCACGGGCCGCACGGCTGCACCCCCAGTGAGGGATGGCGGGGAACCGCTGGCCAACTTACCGCACTCATGGTTTCAGCTCACAGTGAAAATGGGTCTGCCCACAGCCTCTTCTCCAGCCTCCTTTATGATACCTCTGCCTAGAAGCAATATTATTTAATAAGAGTAATTTAAATTGTTCAAATGTGCTGCTATGAAGACAAGATTAAGATGGGACTTAGCTTTGGAGGCCCTCTGATATTATTTTGGCCCTTTAAAGTGAAGGCAGAACACAGACTATTATAACAAAT